TAGCCACAGGGGATCCCACAGTCATAGCCTCGGTAGCCGTACAGGCTCCCGTAATTGCAGGGAGAATAGCAGTCATCCTCGCACTGGCCTTGGAAGAAAGTCATCGTTCTGCAGTGGAGGCAAACCTGAAACGCAGCAGCAGGGGTGAAAGCAAAAGTCATAAATATTTCCACTGGCAGTAACAGTCTCAGAGCCCAAAGACTTCTTCAGTAGCCCCGTAAGACCAAGGACAGAAGCAAAATTATGGCCAAATTCCTCAGCTCCTTATTACCTCCCATTTCTATCATTTTGCCATTTACCCACTGTTTTTAAGCTGGTTTATTTTTTTTCTCGCTTAGTGAGATTAGTGAAAGCACTGGCTATGGAACATACCTGTTACAGCTCAAAACCTCCTGGCTGCTGTTTCAAGAGTTTTCTCAGAGAATATTGTTAGGAGTTAACAATCCTAAATTTCTTTTAGGATATCAGTTTTGTATAGAGCTCTACATTTCCAAATCTTTCAAGAAAGTCTTCAAGAAAGCTTAAAGTGTCTGATGTTTGGCGTGATAACACACTTCAGCTTTTGGGTCCACGGCTCCAAGTCCAATTTGATAGTTTACACCTATTTTAATTGGCATCTGGAAGTGCTGACAGCAGACTCAAGAAACTACAGAGTGTTAGGACACAGGAGAACATCTGTTGTCCTGCCAAACAGACCTGAAGATCTTCCTTCAAATAAAATGGAAGAATTATGGAAGAACCCACTGAGGGCCATGGTGGGGTAACCCTTCTCTAACTGAGCTGGAGGCAGCTCCGATAACCAGGGATCCTTGTCAGGGAGCCAGATACCCCAGGCACCAGCAGGGCCAGGAGAGTTTCAGCCCCAGCTTCAAAACTCAAACCTGCAATGCGTTAAGCACAGGTACGAGGTACAGAGAACTCTTAAATTTCAGAGAAGCCACGATCCTAACATAAATTATCAAAGCAAAATTTCTAATCCTTCTGAAGAGACTAAATGGAAAAAGGGCTTACCGAGTTCACCGGGAGGAGGAAGGCAGGAGAGCTGATGAGGAGCCAGGAGCTCTGAGCCCTTTTTATACTGTTTCTTTGCCCGCCTGGCTTATCTAAGACGCCCTGTATATTCAAAAGGTTTGTAGCCTTATTGGTTGGAAAAGAAATTTGCCTGTACACGTCATATCTTCAATTAATATAATTTTCTTCATTGTTTGGGATTATTAGTGTGTTCCCAGCCTCCCATATGTCACATACATTACAGGTTTCTTTCATCTTAAAATTTTCTGGACCAACTGCATTCCTGATATGATTTTGTCTTCACTGTCAAAACTGAAGTTTATTTTTATGCAATATAAAAACATTCATAAGTTCCCAAAGCCACCAGAGAGATACAAATTTCCAGTAAAAAAGGAAAAACCTTCCCATATTTTTGAAAATATCTGTAGTTCACCAGGAACTCTGATGCACCACGGCACAGGCTCCCTGTTTAAAGGAGATGTAAACGTATATTTAGGTATTTTATATTAAACTACGTTGCAACTTCAGGGAACAGGACTAGCACAGGCTACAAATAAATGTTAACTGAATTCTTGTTAATGGGGAACAAAATCCACGCTGCTGCACGAGCAACAGGAATATTTTCCAGAGAAATATAACCATGGCATCGTTTGCAGTTTAGTTCGCTAGAGGGCTGGCCAGGGAGTTCAGCAGAACAAAGTGGAGAATAAAAGTATGAACCTGGTCTGGTGAAAATATAAATGATAAGGATTTTGAGAGGTGTACCAAATACTGTTCTCCAAGGAACCATGTTAAAATTTTCTTTGCAAAGAATGAACAGCATGTGTCAAATACAGTATGATAGGGAGGAAGTTTACTGCAGAACTCCTTGTATGACCTTCACCTAATTTCTGGCATTAATTTGAATATAAAATAAGGATAATAATGAGCAAGCAGGATGTTGAGGCTTCCTCAGAATTTTGAATACCAAAGCACTTCATAAACACTCATTAATGTTTTTCAATTTGCAAAGTGTTGCAGTATTTAAATATTAATAGTTTGTCACCGAAAGACACCCCCAGATTTAATCATACGGTCACTTAACAAGACACACCAAGGTCTCTTGTTTAACTCCTAATAAGGTAATGCATGATATGTTTTATGAAAGTCCAAAACTATAAAAAAAAACCCTCTTATAGAATATAAATAAATATTTGGGTATGTTCATAAAGCAGCTGAAAAATTTCTTCAAAATCACTGTTGTAGAAGCTGAGACAAAAAAAAATCAAAGCAAGCTGCTGGCAAGAGATGCCCACCGATGTCACCGGGGAGCATGCACAGGTCATGACGATGCTGAATAGAAATGCTACCACATTTCAGCACACCAAAGACAAGCCTACTCCTTTTTGCCCCTACGCATTGCACCATAGATGCAAAAGCCAAGCAAATGGAGCACCGACAAGCAGACTGCGCAACCAGTAATGGTCCAAGCATCTCCCCAAAGTGTTCCCATCCATCCAACTACAAAGAATTCCAGGCAATTTTCCTAGAAATGTGCTGAGCCCCTTTCTTCTTATTTTAAGATGAAAGAAATTCTAAAGGTATTACACGTGTGTCATAACATCAAACTTTGAAAATATGAAAATCACTGACTCCAATTACATCAATTGAAGGAATAATGCACGCGACGAGATACGTTATACAACTAACAGCCAAGTTTAAGGAGCTATATATACGGACCTACAACTCCGAAATGCCATTCACTTCTTCCGAGCTACTCCCCTCACTGAACCGGGTAAGTCAATACTGACTCTGCTCTCTTTCTGATATACGGGTATTTGCATGTCCATATGTCTGTATCAATATTTGTGTGCACAGGCTTGCACACATATATAAAAAAGGCACTGGTGTGTACATACACATATGAAATATGTATAATGTCTGTGTATACGTACGGACATTCTGGTTTTTTGCCATTTCAGAGCTTATCGCAAACATGGTGGGATGGCAGGGTTAGGTTAAAGATTGGACTCGATGATCTTAAAGGTCTTTTCCAACCAAAGCGATTCTATGATTCCATAAAATTCTCCGCAACATCACGGAATTCCTTCACGGAAACTTTTTTGCTCTTCCTGTGCTTCCTCCTTGACACTTTTCCCATTGCTTTTAATATAGGTTTTTATTTTTTTTTCCTTATGTTCCACTTGCTGGTAATGAGATTTGTCTGTTAAATTGAAATGTGATAGGAAATTGTGACTTGGGAACAAGAACATTGGAATTAGGTTTCCAGGAACAGGACAGTGCTTTAAAGCACTGAAAATCTGAAATATGCTGCCACAATTTTGAAGTCCTAAGTCATTCCCAGTTCCAGATTATATTCATTAGGTGCTGGGAATTCAAATCCCTAGATAAAAACTTTGTGAAACATTTACTACTTTAAGTGTACATCCTGGAAGGAAATTCCTCCATTTCATGGCATTCTTTGAGTTTATCCGACACTGAGTGGCGTGCAGCACTACGGGAGATAAGGGCATGCTTGTGGTAGGCTGTTGGTCTCATCTGAATAAGCATCAGTATCTAAACTGACATATTTTTCTTTAATTTATTAAAATTTCTCTAACTTCTGAGGTGGGAAAGTTCAGTGCTCAGTTGGTAACAACTGTTTTTTCTGTGTACAATGAGCCGTTTTCAAAAGTTGAGGGGAAAAAAAATAGAAAAGTTGCTTGGGATTCAGGAGATAGAAAAATAAACAAGATGGTTAAGGGGGTGAGAAAGACCTGCAGGAGGGAGCAAGTTGCATTTCCTCAGCGTTCAGCCTTTCCTCCTGTTGTCAGCAGCCCATAAACTCACCTCGCTTTCTGGGTGTGTGTTTCAGGCTTGCCTGCATCAACGAACGATGACTTTCTACGGGGACCTCTACGATGATGGGTGCTGCTCTTCATTTGGCTATGAAGACCTCTATGGTTTTGGGGGCCTGAATGGCTACCGATTTGGGAGCCCGTATGGCTACTGTCAGGACCAGTACCGATATGGGAGACCATACGGCTACAGAAGCTTTGGGAGCCTGTATAGGAACAGAGACTTGATTGGTTATGGGGACTGTTATGGGTATGGGGACTTGTACAGATCTGGGTATGGCTACCCCTTCTCTGCTCGTTTTGGCAACAGATACGGCTATTCAAACTGCTATTCATGCTGAACCAGCAGAAATAGCAACCAAGAAATGAAATGCAGGACATGGATTCATGGCTAAGGTTATGGTGCTGAGAAACGCCGAGCACCCACGCCTCTGGCTGAGTTCAGCGGGACATGTGGGTGCCAGGCTACGTAAGACTACCCCATGCGCAACCCTCTTTAATATCTTCTGTTTCTTCAACTATTACTCTAAAGGGCAACCTGAATTACAGCAAGTACTGAGGCATCTTTACAGCATGTTGATGGAGCAAAGCAAGACTTTCAGGTGTGAGTAAAGAGCCTTTTAAGTTAATCCACTTTGCATTGCCATAGTAATAGGAGTTTCTGCAACCACCATGAACAAATCCACTTTGCTCAGCTATAAACTTCACCAGAGATGACATCTAATAGAGTAGCTCCTGTTGTACATCTGTGCTGTATCTCATCCAGCAGCGAACATCATTTACAAGCAACTCGGTGAGCAAGAAACATGTCCAGACTGTCAAACTCCACCGTTTCCACAAAGAGAGAGCATCATCCAGCAGTGGATGCACTCTGCTTGCTGAAGACCCTTCTGTAAACCTACAAACTTATCCTTTCTGTTACTTGCTGTTTCTCATTTCCATTAAAATTACTCTGCTTAATAATATCAGATGTCCAGTCTTCTCCTTCTGTCTGTGCTCTTACACCACTGTAAAGGGACCAGCAGCACTGCCACTCCAACCACCCATGCAATAAGAGGGAGGTCTGGACTCCAGATGTTAGACAGTATCACCACATCTCCATCTGAAACACTCCAGCCCGGACTCATTTCCCAGAGCAGGAAGAAGTTCTACCTTATTTTAACTCACCAGTGGCCCTAGGTTTACACGAATACTTCTCCAGAAAAGGGCGTCACTGCCTGTAGTCTCCATCTGAAACACTCCAGCCCAGACTCATTTCCCAGAGCAGGAAGAAGTTCTATCTTAACTCACCAGTGGCCCTAGGTTTACACAAATACTTCTCCAGAAAAGGGCGTCACTGCCTGTATTACCAAACACACACACTCCTGGAGTAAGCTGGGGTCTGTGCTTGAAAAATAACTTTCAAAAGCAAGGGATTAGGTGGAAGCCTCATGGTCTGCCAAGGAAAAATAGCAACGTCGCTCCAAGTCAAACACACCTAAGAGAAAAGACCAAAGGCAACCAAGCCATGACCATCTTCTGGAGAGATCATCTCCTTTGCAAACTGAACAGCCAGGTTATTCAGGGAGTTCCTGTCAGCCTCTACCATGTCACCTTAGGATATTGAGTAGTCTTGATTTAGATTTATAATATTAAAGGTTATAATCTGGCACAGAACAACGTGGTTCAACAAGAATAGCCCAGACAAAACTGCATGGATCCCATGCAAGCCCAGTTAGACATCAAAGACATCACCAGGGGTCAGAAACCTTGTTGCAGAAGTGACTGTGAGGGGGCACCTCTGGGCTGATTTTCAAGAGATGCCCTACATGGTGGCCACCTACACAAGCGTTTCTGCATTCCTCAGCCGACAGATGAAAGCTAAGGAAAGGGCCAAGAAAATAATTAACAGAGCAGAATGGAGAAGCACTTTCCTAGGCAGAAAACCAGCAATAGTTAGCAGAATAGTCCCCGAGCTGTAAATGCTCTTCCTCCAGTCTAAAATCCCTTTCTTTACATCCATGTTTTATTCCATGCTTTCACTTAACCTGTTTGACCTTGAGCTGGACCATAGCAGAAGATGAACCCCACAGATCCATTTCCTTGTCTGGGAAGGATCAGCCACAGCCAAGGGATGGCCCTGGTCTGCTGCCTCCTTGCTCCGAGCTCACCTCTTTGCGTCCTAGTTTGAGCAAAGCAGGAGCAGAGCAGGATGCCCCAGGAAGAGCTTAAGGGCAGCACCCTCCACCCTCGCCTCCTAGCAGGGCATGTCGGCAGTAAATCAGTACAACCCTTTGAAACTGGCAAAGCTATTAAGGCATCTTTGGTAATCCTTCTGCTAGCTGCTGTCAGCAGCAAAAAGGGCTGGGTTCCCCAGGGAAAACATTAAGAAATGGTAGAGTCTCCCACCACAATAAATTCAGCTTATCGCACTTGGATGCCCTCTGGCACATGAGGCTTTTCCCACCTGCACATACAGTGCAGAAGGGCTTACATGGACATGCACAGGGAGACAAAATAAAATACAGAAAGCCAAAGATTTGGGTGGAATTCTCAGCCTGCCCAGGGTCCTTTGGCTCCAACCTAATGTCAGGTCCCTGTCCCCGTTTGCCAACACAGCAATATGTTTCTTCCCTTCATCGTATCCCACTCAGTTCATTACCGGAGGCACCATCACTTCCGAGAGCGGGTGCAGTCACCACCTAGTGCCTGGGGAACATAGCCCGCAGGCTGTGCCTGCCTGCCAACCCCAGCCTTCCCAGATCCGTCACCTCCCTCCACCACACTGCCCCGGAGCCGCCTGGGCACCACCTCACTTCCCTTTCTGCTTTGAAGTTGCCACCACTCTTGCGACTCCAGCTCTGTGCACAGCACTGGGGGTGCCCCGATGCACCCTGCTGCTGCCTCCCAGCTGAGCAACCTCAGCCCTCCCTTGCTCTCCCCAATTCCGTGGATCCAGGGCACAGCCGGGATCTCCTGCCTTGCTGCAGGTCAGCCTTATGCAAACACTGGACCCCAACCACCACACAAGGAAGGGAAACAAATTTCTCAGCCCAGGTGCCCCTACCACAGGGCTCTCAGCCTTTACTCACCAAACAGGGATCATTTTCTTCATTCAAGAACATCAGGGTGATTCAAGAAGTCCCAAATCATCACAGAATTGGGGTCCAGACCATTCTCTGCCCCGCCCAGCATCAGTCAAACACTGATGCTCATTTCCCATGGATCCATCCTAACCTCTCAAGAAGCTCCAAGTTTCTCATACGCTTGCTCATCGGTGTGCAAAGAGCATTTTCCCTGTTTCATAGGGTTTTATGCCCTAAGGCTTAAGAAAAGTCAGATGATTAGAGGAACTTTGTGCCTGCCTATGAGATAGTATCATAAAAGATGAGAGATGGCTAATTCAGCTAACAGAAAACTAACTCCTGTAATTTCATTTCAGCTTGGGAATGCCAGTCTGAAGCAGGAGGTATTTATTGCATGCATGTGGGAAATTACCAATTTAAATGCACCTTGTGAACAACCCACACGCGAGGCATGCTGCAGGACGCACCTCGGGCACAAAGCCTCACTGCAAGAGCAAAAATCATTTTTAAAGAGAAAACTTACCCCAAAGAAGAGATCGGGCCCCTGGCTATTGCACAAACTGGACCAGAACACTTTTCAAAATATTTCTTAGAGTGCAGTACTACACTAAAACCTTTTAAGAGAAGGGAAAGCAGATCATGATATAGAAAAAAGCCTATGCAGGCCTCACAAGAGAAACAAGGAGAATTTCAAAATTCACTGTATTTAGTTAAATATTCTTATCCATAATGCAATAATGAACCAAAGAGATATTAACAAAACCATAGAATATTTTGGGTTGGAAGGGACCTACTCTATTAAAAAGACAGTGGCAGCTTCTAAGACACCCGATATCTTTAGTCCTCAGAGCATTTCACATTAATAGCTTTTATATCAAAAGGAATAAAAGGTTTATTATAAATAGTTCCATAGAAATCTGGCAAAATTTCCTAATTTTACTGACACTCGGTGTTTTGTGGTTAACTGCAAGTCTCAACTTACTACCTAGAAAGTTCAGAGGCCTCAGTAATAAACTTCAGTTCATTCCCAAACACACCATTAGCATGACAATAAAGATCCCTTCAGCTGGCTTTTGAGGTTTGGGGGATTTCTCTTCTGTAGGGAAGGATTCATGTGGTTGGCGAGAATCTGGTTTAATCACCTCATCTAAGGCTCACCACCAGCCAATTACACACTATTACAGCGCCTGGCCAACTTTGTTTTCCTTACATATGAGGATAATAATTCTCCAGGGAGTGACTGCTATGAAAATCCAGCATTCCCATGTCAGGTCACAATACAGAATTATACCGTTGCTGTAACGAAGTATTAATGCGCAACATAACATTTTAAACACATACGGCAGCATGGAAAGCTGGTGAAATATTTATTATCCATATATTCCTGAAGAAGTTCAGAACTCCAAGGATGAACGCCACCAGCTGTTTTCACATGCTCAGCTTACATTGCTGTAAGACATTAGCCAGAGCAGTCAAGCCAGAAGTTTGACACTCAAAAATAGCTCCTTTTGCACAACTCTTGGCTTCAGATTCTTCTTAGTAACACTGACTCTCCACAGGCCTCTGCTCCAATGCATTGCATCGCTGCCCAGAGGGGGAGGCCGAGCCTGAGGACTCCAGGTAACGCACACTGTGCCAGAAAAGCCGATATTGAGGCAAGAGCTCCGCAGAGCTGGTCAAGACCAGGGGCAATGAAAGCAAAGAGGTGGGCAGCAGTTTCACAAAGGACAGCAGAGGTCAGTGTGGAAATGAGACACACATGCAACCCACTGTCAGATCTCTCAGGAATATCATCATCCCAGGGCAGGCTGATCTGATCAGGAGAAAGGGCACCCAAATGAGGAGGAGCAGAGGGGAACACACACACACAGAGGCACCAATAACATCGTGCAATGTCATGTTTAATGAGAAAGCAGCAGATCTTACAGAGGCAGGATTATACAGCACAGATTACAAATTGCCTGTAATCTTTGCTTTGGTGCAAGGTGATTCATGTAATAACTGATGCTGCCTCCCTGTTGCAGCTCTGTGTCGATACCCAGCCCTAATCACAGCAAGCACAGAAACAGGGCACAGGCTGGCTGACTCCACAACCCTTTTTTATACATCATTAGCCATAGGAAGAGCCTACAAAGGGATCTAAAATGTGAAGGGATCTGGTATGACATCCAGTGCCGCAATGATACCTACAAGCCCCCAAGGAATTCGCAGTGTAGCCCATAGCGTAGAGATCAGAGTGCTTAGATAGGAAGACAGTAGAAAAAGAAAATCAGGAA